ATTTTCCCGTGAGAATCACATCTGTTGAGAGTTTTATCATTCCAGTGGCTTCTATTAAGTATACAGTTACTGCCTACTATATGCAAAGCACTGTACTTAACTAACTTCCAGATCTTGTTCTCTGTTGCGTCTATTTATATATTCTATCAGTCTTGGATTTTCGGTCATCGTTTTTATTGTTGTTATTTGTTGCTAATGAGCTTATGCTGAGCACATATTGTGGTGCAAATAACTGATGATCCAGAGATGTCAAGTGTAGCACAACTCTCAGAAAGCACACAGACTATTAATGTTTGTCACTACCTTTTAAATAACCTTTAAATTGCTTTGTAGATATCCCTAAACACAAGTCCAGGTTTGCTGAAATATTGAAGACATCTGTTTTTATAGTGACATCAAGAGCACAGTGTACACGTTTAGCACACATAGAACCAAAGTGACCAAACTAGGTGAGTGAGCCCACGAAGATACATTTCTGTGAAGCCAGCCTATGACTCCTCGTCTTGCATCTCGGGGAGCTCTGCGCCAGCTCTCATGGCAGAAGAGATGCTGTGTCAGTTTACAGCTCAGGCCTTGAGGGAAGGACAGCTTGATCTGTGTCTTGGGAGCCTTGAGCCACCACGTGAAGAGACCTCCTACCCTGACACTGCAGGACTGGAGATGTAATGTGTAGGCATTCCAGTGTCAGCTGGGCCCAGCCTTCAGTCGTACTTACCAAGCAAGTGAAATGAAGCCATCAGAGACTTTCGGATCAGCTTAGGTATTACGAGATAGGTACTAAGTGCCTTCAGTATATGTTACAAGCACAACAAAATTGCAGTTGGTTTAAGCCATTAAATTTAACAGTACTTTGTTCTCACACTTGGGTCAAGAAAAAAACCTCTTTGCTTTTGCTTTGAGTCTTTTTTTTTTAGCTTAAAACAACAAACATTTATTTTCTCGCAGTTGTGAAGGCACAAGTCTGAAATCACTGTGTCAGCAGAGCCAGGATCTCTCCGTCTCTGGATAGAATCCCTTCATGGTCCTTCCTGCCTTCTGGCAGTGCCATCAGTCATGGTATGGCTCGATTTGTAGCTGCATCACTCTACTCTCTGCTGTGCCATCACATGGCATTCTCCGCATACCTCTATTGTTTCGGTTAAAGGACACCAGTCATATTGATTCTGAGCCTATCCTAAAGGCCTCATCTTTAACCAGTAGTTTAGGTACTTGCTTCTTTTAAGTTTGCTCCCCACCCTTTATTTATTTATTTATTTATTTTTTGAGAGGTTTTTGCTATAGGGCGCGTGCGCTCGCCAGACAGACAGAGAGAGACAGAAAGCAAGAAATCACCCCCCGGGGGGATGGCCACGCCACGATCCCTTCTCCTCCGTTCTCCTCTCGGGATCTTGGGCATGAACGCATGCACACACTCCCTGCATGAGTTTTAAGCCATCGGGTGGGTCCGGGACGCGAACCGCGGTTGACTACATGGGAATCCAGCGACATAATCATTATGCTAACTGCTGGTCCCCCCACCCTTTTTGTTAATGCATTTTTTTTTAATTTCATGAAAAACAGTTTTAGTTTTTTTTTTCCTGAAACTTTTTTTAACTTAATTTACATTCATTCCCTAAGCATCATCACAACATACAAAATGTGATTTCCCATCCAGAATATACTACATAGTGGCTCAATCATGCATGTTATTATCAAAAATTTTCCATTTCTAGTTTCTATTATTTTTTTACCCCTATTTCTGACCTCTGTCCTTTCCCACCCTCTTCTCACACCATCTCTTATGTCTACTGTTGTCTTCCATTCCTTTCCCCCTACATTGTATTGATCACACAATTTCTTAAATAATCTAACTACTTTCAATAGCAAGTTCACTTGGTACTATTAAGAAAAGCAGTTTTAACTTAAATCAAAGAAATGCTAAGGAAATCTGCTTAAAACTTAAAGCCAGGAAGCAGGTTAGGAGTCTGTTCAAATGGTAGGTACATGAACCTATCCATAGCTCAAGACAAGACACAAATCCTTACCACCAGATAATAAAGTCGCTTTGGGTCATTTGTAACATTGAATGATGCTGCTGGCTTTTAAAAAAAATATGATTTGTAGAATAGACATTACTTGTACAGGGCAGTGTATGTTCGGCTCTCAGCCCATGGATCTTAGAATCACTTGGCACACTTGCTATTCCTGAGACTGAAGCTTGCAAATTTGCATATTTAGTTAGCTCCCAGGTGATGTGTATGTACTTAAAGCTCTCAGAACCATTAAGATTGTGTAAAAACTGTGTTCGGGATGATCTCATTTCTTGCTACTCAAAGCCTGGTCCAGGGAACCAGCAGTTAGCGTAATGGCTATGTCGCTGGACTCCCACGTAGTCAAACGCGGTTCGCAGCTCGGACCCCGCGGCTTACCGCGGTTCGCATCTCGGACCCGGTGGCTTAAAACTCACGCCAGGCGCGCGTGCATGCGTGCCCAACATCCCAAGAGGACAATCGAGGAGAAGGGATTGCGGCGTGACCATCCCTCCTGGGGGGTGATTTCTCGCTTTCTGTCTCTCTGTCTCTCTCTTGTCTGTCTGGCGAGCACACGCGTCCTATAGTGAAAACCTCTCAAAAAAAAAAAAAAAAAAAAAAGAAAGAAAGAAAGAAAGAAAAGCCTGGTCCACAGGCAGCATCTTCAGTATCACTTGCAGCTTGTTAGGAATCAGATTCTGAAATGCCATCACAAGTCTACTGAATCAGTTTGCAGAGAGTCAAGGTCCTCCGGATGATTTAAACATACATTAAAATCTGAGGATGCAGCATAGAATAAGGATTTTTAACTCTGGTTTCATGTTACAAGCACCTGGAGAACTTAAACTAAAGCCTGCTGCCTCACCGCAAACCACTCAGATCACAGTCTCTAGGCTTTGGAGTTTGGCCATTGTTATTTTTTAAAAGCCCCCAAAAGGATTTTAATCAGTAGGTAAGTTTGAAAGTCAGTGGTTTTATCTCTGCTGTCTTGTGGCCAACATGGGTGCGATTTCTTTTCCTAACTATCTTGGCATATATTTGCTTGCCTCCAGATTCCTGTTTGAACTTTCTTTCCTCTTGTCACAGTTCATCATAGTGAAGGCACATGCGATTTTGACCTTATTGATAATATTGTACTTCAACTTTAGTGACCCGAAGAAAATTTTATCATTGTGAAATAACTGACCTATCTAAATTGGAAATGCTACGTTGAAATAACCTTTGAAGAAAAGGGTACCTGTGGAGGAAGATTTTCTAGTTCTCATTAAAATAACCCTGCTATGTTCTATCACTTGAACTGTGACTTCTAAGGTCCCATACTAGAAAGTCAGTAAGTGTGACTTTAATTTCAAGGAGTAATTAACTATCTGGGACAACTAATCTGATTAAACATCTGTTGTTTAATATTTCTACCACTAGGTGTCAGTATAACTCAGGAAAAAATTCACTCGGCTGGTAATTTGTATGTCCAAAAAAGGATCATTCTCATGGGTACCAGATGATGGTAAAGAATTCAGTGTAAGTGTTGAAGTTTTCATTAGTGATCACATATCAACACTGACTGACTGACTTTGCATCACAAGTAATAACATGACTCTGGAAATTATACAACAGACACGAACAAGTGTTAGCAAGCTTTTTCTAGAAAGGACCAGATAGTAAATATTTCGATCTGTGCAGGCCATATTGTCTCTGTCACAATTACTCAGCTCTGCCATTTTAATGTGAAAGCAGCCCTACACAGTACACACAAGAATGGCATGTCTGCATCCCAATGCTACTTTATTTACAAACACAGGTGGTGGTAGGATTTGACATGGAGATTGTATTTGCTAACTTCTGAACTAGAGGAAAAGTTCTGACATCTGCATAATTTTCAGGATTACCTGGAAAGTTTGTTAAAAATTTGGAGTCCTGGGGCCAGCAGGTGGTGTGGTGGTTAAGGCACTGAACTTTCATGTAGCCTACTATAGTAGCTTAAAAAATCACACCAGTTATGTGTGTGGGTGTGCCCAAAATCCCAAGAGGAGAATGGAGGAGAAGGAATTGCTGCAGGGCCATAGCCCGCTGAGGGATGCTTCCTCCCGCTCCCTCTCCCTGTCTCTCTCTGGCAAGCACATGTGCTCCCTGGGGGTGGGGGCAGGACACAACTGCAAAGGTCAGGTTCACAGTGTCTCTGTAGACTCTCAAGTACATCAGTGAAGGACTCATTCCCCTGTGTGTCTGTGTTAAGCCACTGGTCTTGGGATTAGTCTGTACCACAGCACAGCCTTGCCAAACCCGACTGATAGAAGAGGATTCTGACTTAGTTTGAACAGAGAAGGGAAGGAGATTGGAGAAAACAGGGAGAGTGAAGGAAAAGAGATTAGTAAGATTGTGGAACATTGCATGATAACTCCACAAAATATCCCAAATCTTCAATAAATTTATAACCCCCCCCAAAAAAATTTTTACTGTGCTTGATTTTTTTTTGTTTTATTGCATGAATTGGTGAAGGAAAGGAGCTTAGCACCTGTGAAACAAAGTACAAAGTACAAAACTACAAAGTACAAAAGTGAAACAAAGACAACAGACATCCTAGCTGTGGGCAGAGAAATAGGGTGAGGATATCTTAAATATCAAGTGTCCAATCCCGATGCCGATGCCATGTGCTCTCTAAAAACAGGGTTTCCTCAGGTTGTTTCAGCTTGAGCTAAGTGAAAAATGGACATATAGGGACCAGTAGTTGGCATAATGGCTCTGTCGCTGGACTCCCATGTAGTCGACCACAGTTCGAGTCCTGGACCGGGAGGCTTAAACTCACGCCAGGCACGTGTGCGTGCATGCCCAAGATCCCGAGAGGACAATGGAGGAGCGGGGACTGCAGCATGGCCATCCCCCCTGGGGGGTGTTTTCTCGCTTTCTATCTCTCTATCTCTCCATCTTTCTGGTAAGCACATGCGCCCTATAGCAAAAACCTCTCATTAAAATAAAATTTAATAAAAGGACATATAGAACACCATGCTTTAAAAAGAGTCACAATGAGTTTCATTAAGAGTAAAGTAGCAAATACATTTACCATTACCATGATCTTATATAAGGCATAGTGCACATTTGCGATCTTTGTTTAACAAATAGAGCAGTTCTATTTTTTCTGGGTAGAAGCCATCTATTTTTCCA